AGAAGGCTGAGAGGAGATATGATAGCCATGTATAAATATGTGAGAGGAAGCCACAGGGAGGAGGGAGCAAGCTTGTTTTCTGCTTCCATGGAGACTAGGACGCGGAACAATGGCTTCAAACTACAAGAGAGGAGATTCCATCTGAACATGAGGAAGAACTTCCTGACTGTGAGAGCCGTTCAGCAGTGGAACTCTCTGCCCCAGAGTGTGGTGGAGGCTCCTTCTTTGGAAGCTTTTAAACAGAGGCTGGATGGCCATCTGTCAGGGGTGATTTGAATGCAATATTCCTGCTTCTTGGCAGAGGGTTGGACTGGATGGCCCATGAGGTCTCTTCCAACTCTTTGATTCTATGATTCTATGATTCTATGACTATGATTCTAAGTGTGGGCCTGCCTTTGGCTGATGAGATAGGGTTGTTGTTGTTGTTGTGCACCAGGACTGTGGCGCAGCTGGCTGAGTGTCAGCTGCATTAAGATCACTTCTGACCGAAAGGTCATGAGTTCGAAGCCAGCCTGGGTCGGAGCGAGCTTCCAACCAATTGTGTAGCTTGTTGTCGACCTTTGCAACCCGAAAGACAGGTGCATCTGTCAAGTAGGAAAAATTAGGTACCACCTATGTGTGAGGACGCTAATTTAACTAATTTACGAGGCCATAAAAAAGACTCCAGCAAGCACTCCAGCAAAACAAGCAGGGAATGCGGAAGTACTTCACCAGTGTCGCAGATGGACGATGAAAGTTAAATAGCCTCTGACTGTCTGTCTATATCTGTTGTGTGTCTTTGGCACTGAATGTTTGCATTCAATGTGATGTGGCGGCAAAAAAAGCCAATGGGATTTTGGCCTGCATCAATAGGAGCATAGTGTCTAGATCTAGGGAAGTAATGCTACCCCTCTATTCTGCTTTGGTTAGACCACACCTGGAATATTGTGTCCAATTCTGGGCACCACAATTCAAGAGAGATATTGACAAGCTGGAATGTGTCCAGAGGAGGGCGACTAAAATGATCAAGGGTCTGGAGAACAAGCCCTATGAGGAGCGGCTTAAGGAGCTGGGCATGTTTAGCCTGAAGAAGAGAAGGCTGAGAGGGGATATGATAGCCATGTATAAATATGTGAGAGGAAGCCACAGGGAGGAGGGAGCAAGCTTGTTTTCTGCTTCCTTGGAGACTAGAAACAATGGCTTCAAACTACAAGAGAGAAGATTCCATCTGAGCATGAGGAAGAACTTCCTGACTGTGAGAGCCGTTCAGCAGTGGAACTCTCTGCCCCGGAGGGTGGTGGAGGCTCCTTCTTTGGAAGCTTTTAAACAGAGGCTGGATGGCCATCTGTCAAGGGTGATCTGAATGCAATATTCCTGCTTCTTGGCAGGGGGTTGGACTGGATGGCCCATGAGGTCTCTTCCAACTCTTTGATTCTATGATTCTATGATATGTGTACATTGTAATCTGCCCTGAGTCCCCTGCAGGGTGAGAAGGGCGGAATATAAATACTGTAAATAAATAAATAAATAAATAAATAAATAAATAAATAAATAAATAAATGTGTGCTTCCAAGTCCTTTCAGACTTAGGTAGACCATGAGCAAGGGCCGGATAAATAACCTTGAAGGGCCGTATCTGGCCCCCGGGCCTTAGTTGGAGGACCCCTGTTTTAAATTGTATGTTTTGAATCCCCTTTGGAGAGATAAAATGGGGCATAAATAAATAGAATAATACTAATTTCTTTATGTTGTTCACCTTGTTTGGGGTGGAACAGACGTATGTAAATGGACAAGACCACATATCAAACCTTCCTAATCTCAAACCACACTCCGAACTTGGTATTGTATGCGAAATATACCCCATGCGTGTATAGCCCATCCCACGAGGGTTTCTAGGGTGCTGGATAGAAAGGAACACATATTTCTCCATTCCGCTCTCCTTGCACATGGAAAGAAACTGGCATCATCACATCACAGCAGGGCATTGGCTTTGGCTTCTGGCGAAGGAGTGAAAAGCTGAAGCCGGAGAACAGCATTGGGTATTGGGTTAGTGCAGTATTGGGTTAGTGCAGTGTTTTTCAACCTAGGGGTCGGTACCCCTGGGAGGGTTGTGAGGAGGTGTCAGAGGGGTCGCCAACAACCATCACAAAACACAGTATTTTCTATTGGTCACAGGGGTTCTGAGTGACAAGTTTGACCCAATTCTCCTGTTGGTGGGACTCAAAATGCTATTTGATTGTAGGAGAACTATAAATCCCACAACTACAAGTCCCAAATGTCAAGGTCTATTTTCCTCAAACCTCACCAGTGTTCACATTTGGGCATATTGAGTATCCATGCCAAGTTTAGTCCAGATCAGAGATGTCCCTAGGTAATTTTCAACAGTAAGCAAACAGTATTTTGGAGCCCCCACCCCCCATCCAATCACTGATATATATTTTCTGTTCATCGTGGGAGTTCTGTGTGCCATATTTGGTTCAATTCCATCATTGGTGGAGTTCAGAATGCTCTTTGAGTGTAGGTGAACTATACATCTCAGTAACTACAACTCGCATATGTCAAGGTCTATTTTCCCCCAAGAGCGCCTCAAGAGCGTCCCTGGGCAAAATCAACTATACTGCAAATGCTTTGCGTAATGGGTTGAGCCGCCCCTGGTCCAGATCCATCATTGTTTGAGTCCACAGTGCTCTCTGCAGGCCCGTAGCCAGGATTTCGATTCGGAGGGGGGGGGGGCTGAGTTTGTTTCGGGGAGGGGGGCTGAGTCTGAGTGAAAGAGGGTTTACCCTAGCAAACCTTTTGTATTGTTACCCCAATACCCCCATGCTTATGGGATATATTATGGTGATCAGATCATGATATGAATAAACGTAACAGTTTAAATAATGCACCAGTAACCCTAACGGCGCTCCATGCAGTCATGCCGGCCACATGACCTTGGAGGTGTCTACGGACAACGCTGGCTTAGAAATGGAGATGAGCACCACACCCCAGAGTCAGACATGGCTGGGCTTAATGTCAGGGGACTACCTTTACCTTTACCTTTTTAAGGCCTTCTCGCGGACCACCATGAGAATTTCGGGGGGGGGGCCTGAAGCCCCTCAAGCCCCCCCCCCCCCGCTACATGCCTGGCTCTCTGGATGTAGGTGAACTACAACTCCCAAACTCAAGATCAATTTCCATCAGACCCTTCCAGTATTTTCTATGGGTCATTGGAGTTCTGTGTGCCAAGTTTGGTTCAATTCTATCATTGGTGGAGTTCAGAATGCTCTTTGATTGTAGGAGAACTATTAATCCCAGCAACTACAACTCCCAAATGTCAAGGTCTATTTTCCCCAAACCCCACCAGTGTTCACATTTGGGTACAGGCCCGTAGCCAGGATTTCGTTTCGGGGGGGGGGGGCTGAATTTTTTTCAGGAGGGGTTTGGGGGGGGGGGCTGAGTCTGAGTGAAAGAGGGTCTACCCTAGCAAACCTTTTGTATCATTACCCCAATACCCCCATGCATATGGGATATATTGAGTATGGTGATCAGATCATGATATGAATAAACATAACAGTTTAAATAATGCACCAGTAAGGCCTTTTGCGAACCACCATGAGAATTTCGGGGGGGGGGGGCTGAAGCCCCTCAAGCCCCCCCCCCCCCCCGGCTATATGCCTGTTTGGGTATATTGAGTATCCATGCCAAGTTTGGTCCAGAACCATCACTGTTTGAGTCCACAGTGCTCTCTGGAACTAGGTGAACTCCCATACTCCCAATTTCCACCAGTATTTTCTGTGGGTCATTGGAGTTCTGTGTGCTAAGTTTGGTTCAATTCTATCATTGGTGGAGTTCAGAATGCTCTTTGATTGTAGAAGAACTATAAATCCCAGCAACTACAACTCCCAAATGTCAAGGTCTATTTTCCCCAAACCCCACCAGTGTTCACATTTGGGTATATTGAGTATCCATGCCACGTTTGGTCCAGAACCATCATTGTTTGAGTCCACAGTGCTCTCTGGAACTAGGTGAACTATAACTCCCATACTCCCAATTTCCACCAGTATTTTCTATGGGTCATTGGAGTTCCGTGTGCCAAGTTTGGTTCAATTCTATCATTGGTGGAGTTCAGAATGCTCTTTGATTGTAGAAGAACTATAAATCCCAGCAACTACAACTCCCAAATGTCAAGGTCTATTTTCCCCAAACCCCACAAGTGTTCACATTTGGGCATATTGAGTATTTGTACCAAATTTGGTCCAGATCCATCATTGTTTGAGTCCACGGTGCTCTCTGGATATAGATGAATGTCAATGCCCACCAAACCCTTCCAGTATTTTCTGTTGGTCATGGGAGTTCTGTGCACCAAGTTTGGTTCAGTTCCATTGTTGGTGGAGTTCAGAATGCTCTTTGGTTGTAGGTGAACTATAAATTCCAGCAACTACAACTCCCAAATGTCAAGGTCTATTTTCCCCAAACTCCACCAGTGTTCACATTTGGGCACACTGAGTATGCATGCCAAGTTTGGTCCAGAACCATCATTGTTTGAGTCCACAGTGCTCTCTGGAACTAGGTGAACTATAACTCCCATACTCCCAATTTCCACCAGTATTTTCTGTGGGTCATTGGAGTTCTGTGTGCTAAGTTTGGTTCAATTCCATCCTTGGTGGAGTTCAGAATGCTTTTTGATTGTAGGTGAAGTATAAACCCCAACAACTACAACTCCCAAATAACAAAATCAATGCCCCCAACCTCTTCAATATTCAAATTTGGGCATCTCGGGTATTTGTGTCAAAGTTGGTCCAGTGAATGAAAATACATCCTGCATATCAGATATTTACATGACGATGCATACTAAAAGGAAAATGACAGTTATGAAGTAGCAACAAAAACAATGTTATGGTTGGGGGAACGTTATTAAGGGGCCGTGGCATTAGGAAGGTTGAGAAACACTGGATTAGTGGGAAGTGCAGCCTGGCATGCAAAATTGGCACAAAAAAAGAAGAGAGGGGCTGGGAATTGCAGAAGAGGAGGTATGCTTACAATGATGCCCGCCCAATATGGAGTGTCTCTGACTAGCAGAGAGGCGCTGATGCCTGCCATAAGGAAGCCCAGCACGGTCACAGAGGCGCCCAGAGCCAGCTGCAAGGAGGCCAGCAGCAACGGGAAACGGCAGCCACAGCACGTGTGGACGTCCTCCTCCTGCCCCGCTTTGGGCTCGCGTTGGGCTCCCTTCTTTTGCATCGCGGCGGCTTGCTCCTTGTTGCTGGGCTCTGCCTCCTGCTGCTGCTGCTGGGCTGGCTTCTTCTCTTTGCCCATGTTGAGCAACTTCTCTCTCTCTCTCTCTCTTCTTTTCTGTAAGGACCCCCACCCGCTGAAGCCTTCCTTTGTGCGGCTGCCTGGCTGGTTCCTGGTATTTGGAAGCGAAGAGGAGGCTGAACAAATATGGAAAACATTTGGAGCCGCGAGTGGGAGCTTTCCAAGAGCCACATTTAGCCTCCTTGATAGGAAGGGGGACGCCAGGGGGGTGGCCGACGGCCGGCAGGGAAGAAGCCCATCCCACTGGCATTGCCTCACATCTCTTATGTATTATTTATTATTATTTATTTATTTGGGGTTCTTTTACCCCGCCCTTCTCACCCCGAAGGGGACTCAGGGCGGCTTACAAAAGCAAAGGCACAATTTGATGCCTGCATCATAAAGACAATCAAACACAGAATTACATCAATACACAGTTAACAACAAATATACATTATAACCATAAAATCAATAAAACCAAATACAAACCCAATTTCTCCTCTTACATGGTCAGCGTTCGCTACTCATAGATCTAGTTTTACGTTCCACTTCATCAATCCTGCTGGTCTTACTCGCCTGGTTGTCTGATTTAGTTGCCGGAGTGCCCAAAGGCCTGGTCCCATAACCAAGTCTTCACCCTTCTCCTAAAGGCGAGGAGGGATGATGATGCCCTGATTTCCCCCGGGAGTGAGTTCCACAGGTGAGGGGCCACCACTGAGAAAGCCCTGCTCCTCGTCCCCACCAGCCTCACTTGTGACAGTGGTGGGGTCGAGAGCAGGGCCTCCCCAGATGATCTCAGACTCCGAGGTGGGACATAGAGGGAGATACGTTCGGACAGATACACTGGACCGGAACCGTACAGGGTTTTGTAGGTCAAAACCAGCACCTTGAATTGTGCTCGGAACTGAATCGGCAGCCAGTGGAGCTGGCACAGCAGGGGGGTGGTATGCTCCCTGTATGTCGCTCCGGTGAGCAGTCTGGCTGCCGCTCGCTGGACTAGTTGAAGTTTCCGAACAGTCTTCAAGGGCAACCCCACGTAGAGCGCATTGCAGTAGTCTATTCGGGATGTAACAAGAGCGTGGACCACCGTGGCCAGATCAGACTTCCCAAGGTACGGGCGCAACTGGTGCACAAGTTTTAATTGTGCAAAAGCTCTCCCGGCCACCGCTGAGACCTGGGGTTCCAGGCTCAGCGATGAGTCCAGGATCACTCCCAAGCTGCGAACCTGCGTCTTCAGGGGGAGTGTAATCCCATCCAGCACAGGCTGTAACCCTATACCCTGTTCGGCCTTACGACTGTGTATTCTGTGTTGCAGGTGAGAATTGAAGCTGTTCTGTCCTGGGTGGGGTTTGGCACCCAGGGGCATGCCAAGGAATGGGCCACAGAGATGCCCCACGCTGCCTGCCTGCCTGCCTCTTGTGATTGGGCGACTGCATTATTTATTTATCATGTCAGGAGCAAACCAAAACAGTTGTATTGCAACGTGGGGTTGCCTTTGAAGACGGCCCGGAAGCTACAACTGGTCCAACGTGCGGCAGCCATGATACTAACAGGAGCGGGACGTAGGGAGCATACAACCCCCTTGCTGTACCAGCTCCACTGGCTGCCGATCTGCTACCAGGCTCAATTCAAGGTGCTGACATTGGCCTATAAAGCCCTAAACGGTTCCGGCCCAAAATACCTAACTGACCGCCTCTCGGCCTATGAGCCCATGAGGACTTTGAGATCTTCCAGGGAGGCCCTGCTCTCGATCCCGCCTGCCTCACAGGCACGGCTGGTGGGGACGAGAGATAGGGCCTTCTCGGTGGTGGCTCCTCGGCTGTGGGACACCCTTCCCGTGGACATCAGGCTAGCCCCCTCCCTGCTAATATTCCGCAGGAAGTTAAAGACCTGGCTATTTAAGAAGGCATTTGATCAATAAGTGCAATGACTGGCAATTGACCATAGGAATGTAACAGCGGAAATGAGATCGGATTGTGGCTTGACGATGAGACGATTCGGAATGTAGTAGTAATTTTGTAGTAATGTTGTTGTCTGATAAGATGTTTTTATGATTATGATGAATTATACACTGTTTTGCACTATGCTTTGTAGATTGCACTGTTTTTCTTCATGTTGTACACCGCAATGAGTCGCCCTTGGGGCTGAGAATTGCGGTATATAAGCGCAGTAAATAAATAAATAAATAAAAACAAAACACAAAGTTTGCAGACTTTGTATTCTATTAAATGCCCTTTGACCAGGAGCTGGCCACTTGGAATGCCTCTGGTGTTGCTGCAAGAAGGTCCTCCATTGTGCATGTAGCAGGGCTCAGGCATTTATTTATTTATTTGGCTTGTATACCGCCACTCCCAATTTGGCTCGGAGCGGTTTACAGCAGTAGATTAAAACAATACAACCAACTTTAAAATACAATAAAACGAGAACAGACATAGTCCTGAGTTATTTACCCATCGAAAGCTTGTCGGAAGAGAAAGGGTTTATAGCAGTGGTTCTCAACCTGTGGGTCCCCAGATGTTTTGGCCTTCAACTCCCAGAAATCCTAATAGCTGGTAAACAGGCTGGGATTTCTGGGATTTGTAGGCCAAAACACCTGGGGACCCACAGGTTGAGAACCACTGGTTTACAGGCTCTCCAAAAAGCAAGTAGCTCTCGGATGGTTCGGGTTTCAACTGGCAAGGCATTCCATAAATAAGGGGCTACAATCGAGAAGGCTCTCTGCCTAGTAGAGGACAGATGATAAGTCCGGATGTTGGGGACTTCAAGCAAATGTTGGTCTTCGGACCGAAGTAATCTCTGGGGTTGGTAGGGGGATAAGTGGGCCCTCAGGTACGCCGGCCCCAGACCATATAAGGCCTTAAAGGTTAGTACCAGCGCCTTGAAAGTAATTCGGTACTCAATCGGAAGCCAGTGCAGCTGGTGTAGAATTGGGGTGATACGACACCTCGCCGGCATCCCGGCAAGAAGACGAGCCGCCGCATTTTGCACCAGCTTCAGTTTCCGGATCACTGACAAAGGAAGACCAATGTGGAGGGCGTTACAGTAGTCAAGCCTTGAGATGATCGTCGCCTGGATCACCGTAGCCAGGTCATTCCTAGCCTGACATAGATGGAAAAACGCAGATCTGCTCACAGCAGAGACCTGGGCCTCCATTGTGAGCAGAGGGTCCAATAAGACACCAAGGCTTTTTACAGAAGGTGATGGACGTAGTGTCTCGCCATCCAGGGTAGGCAGCTGGATCTCCCTCCCACCCGGACGGCCCAGCCAAAGGATCTCCGTCTTCGCTGGATTCAACCTCAACCTGCTGGCACGCAACCATCCAGTAACGGCCTCAAAGCACTGATGGAAATTTTCGGGTACAGAGTCCAGCCAGCCCTCCATCCTCAGAATGAGCTGAGTGTCATCAGCGTACTGGTGGCACTCAAGCCCAAAGGTTGTATTGTTGTAGGAGTAGGTGGTCTGTGGTTTGCTTTTCTCCACACTCGCATGTTGTGAATTCCACTTTGTAGCACCATTTCTTAAGGTTGGCTCTGCATCTCGTGTTGCCAGAGCACAGTCTGTTCAGCGCCTTCCAAGTCGCCCAGTTTTCTGTGTGCCCAGGGGAGAGTCTCTCATTTGGTAGCAGCCATTGATTAAGGTTCTGGGTTTGAGCCTGCCACTTTTGGACTCTCGCTTGCTGAGGTGTTCTAGCGAGTGTCTCTGTAGATCTTAGAAAACTGTAGATCTTAGAAAACTATTTCTTGATTCAGGCAACTACACTGAAAAGGATTCTCACCTGAGGAATGTATTCTGGAGCAATTAGGCAATGTCTACATTTTTTAAATTTTATTAATCAATTTTATATACTGCCACTCCGCGAAGGCTCGGTTTACAACATACATATGTGATACATTACATTTAAAATCAAAGAAAAATTTCAATCAGCAAGATTCAAATGCTAGCCCAAATAAAAAGTTTTACAAGCTCTACGAAAAGATAGTAAGTCTCGGATACCTCCTGTTTCCGCTGGCAAGGCATTCCACAGGTAATCTTCTCTTCTCTAACATCGCTTCTCTGCCTTTTGGCTAAGATCAAGTGTAGGAGCCACCACCGTGAATGCTCTACGCCTAGTAGACATCAGGTGAAAGCTCCTAAAATTGGGAACTTCAAGGAGATTCTGATCATCTGAATGGAGTGATCTCGGAGGTTGGTAGGGGGTGAGGTGGTCCCTCAGGTACAATTAGTGTAGTTTTGACACCACTTGAACTGCCCTGACTCAAGGCAATGGAATCATGAGCATTGTAGTTTTATGGAATCACTAGCTGTTAAGTCGATAGGAACTTTGGGAGAGTCTGCCCCAGGAGGAGAGACCCTGGGACTCCACCTAAGAGGGATCACTACTTTGGCGAGCTCAGAGAAGCCTGATTTCAGCTATTTTATTTTATTTAAAAAATCCAAAAGAAATCTCACTAAAGTTGAAGAAGCGGCACTGAGGTGTTTTTATTAGTGATTCAGCTGAAAAGGATGCAATGTAGCAATCATTCGCCTACAAAGCATGTGGTTACAGAGATCAGAGGCATTTTTATAGGAAATACAGGCTTAGAAGTTTCCAGCTCGAAGGGGATTGGTTGACGCGATAACAGCTGGGAGGAGGAGCAGCCACCCTCCCTGCGCCACAGCCAATCACAGAGCTTCTCCTCTGTGCAGGAGCCTATCAGGATGCTCCTACCGCCTTGACGCTCTGGCGAATCAGGAGAAGGGGAGGCAGGACGAAGAAGAAACAATGGATTTATGAGTGGATTATAGGATTTCATGCCTTGGGGGTCTCGAGTCCGGGAAACTGGCCTGCGAAAGATGCCAAGTCTATTGTCTTTTGATGGGTCTGTGATAAGCGATGATTGCTTTATCCGGGTATTCCTGTCGCCATCAGATATGACACAATGAAGAGACTGGGATGAATGTCCATTGTGACAAGTTTTGAAAGCAAAAAACAGTTTCAGGGGAAAAGACTGTTCGAGGGACTTTTGTCCCCAATGGGAAGTGATCAAAAGTTTGCCAAGCGAAATTCTTTGTCTGGCGGCCCAACTCCGAGACCAAACAAAGACTCTCAAGTTTATGGTTCCATGCACAAGTATCAAGATAAGGGTTCTTTTGTGATCGCTGATTGCCTTTTCAAAACAGCTGGTAGCTTCCTTAATGATTTTCACCGAAGGGAGGGGAAGGGGGCAATGGGCTTGG